TGTGTGTGTGTGTGTGTGTGTGTGTGTGTGTGTGTGTGTGTGTGTGTAGAAATAGACTAAGAAGGCCCTCAGAGGACCCCCGCCCTTTTCCCTCCCCGGAGCTTTCTTCCTTTCTCCCACCTTCATTTCCCCACTCCCTCCTTCCTCACTACACACACAAACACACACACACACTTCCCCCCTTTCCTCACCACAAGCACACATACATTTCCCCCCTCCCTTCCAACCTCCCCCCCCCCAAACATCCCCACCTAGTATTCTCCCTTTGTGACCAGGCCCTGGGAGTGGGAACGAGGGGAGGGCATGGAAGCCATGCTTCTGATGTTGAAGATGCTCCTGAACTCTTCCCTGATTGAGTAATGAGACAAGAAACAGAGTTTGGGGTCATAGCCTGCAGATCCTGGGCAGACAGGCCATAGATGAGGAAGACTGACTTGGGATAAGAAAATAAACATCATAAAGTTTTTATTTTGTCATAGGTAGAGGAGGTATACTGAGGAATTAACGGATTACCAATTATCTAAAAGGTGTGGTATTATTTGGTTCAAATGAACTTTGCCCAGTTTGGCATCAGTCCTTCCAGATTATTGATTTTAGATTTTTAAAAAAGCTTAAACATTTTTTTATACATGGCTGTTTATATATCATAATAATAATGATTAACATTTATATAATGCTTTAAAGTTGCAAAGCGCTTTATATATTTCATTCATTGGAACCTCACAAGAACCTCACCTGAAGATAGTATGGTTGATGTAATGGAGCAGTTCTCAAACATTTTGGCCTGACACCCCTTTATTTACACTTTTAAAAATTATTGAGGACTTCTCAGAGAAATTTTAAGTGGGTTATATCTATTGGTATTTATTGTATTAGCCATTGAAACACCTTAGTATTATTATGAAAATAGTTTTGACCTTAGAGACTTTGTGAAAAGGTCTCTGGCACTCCTAGTCCTTCAGTTTTGAAGAATGTTCTTTTTATTCCAAAGTTTTGTGTTTTTTAATAGGTTTAGTCATAAATGGGTGCTTAATTATTCTGAGGGCCTCTTCATTGGTTTTTGAGAGCTTTGAGATTCTGTCAGTGTAATGAGTTATGGCAGCAGTTCTCAAACACTTTCTCAGGATCCTTTACACAATGAAAAATTATTGAGCACTCCTTCCCCTGAAACTTTTGTTTATGTGGCTTATGTCTTGGTATTTGCTTTGTTAGAAATTAAATATCTTAATATTATCATGAAAAGAGTTTTGACATAGTGGATACCCAGAAGGAATCTTGGAGACACCCCTTCTTCCCCAAAGGTTCCCAGACTATGCTTTGAGAACCACTGAAGTATGGTAATTATCTTGTCACAAGACAAAATAACATAGTGGGCTGAATGGAAATAACTTTGATGGCCAGTTCTGACTATTAGCTATATTTTTTTTGTTCATATGTTATAGTTACTTTTATATATATCTTTTTAGTGAGCAATCAGAATATGCCAGCAGAGTACTGGCATATGACAAATATATAGTTAATACGTATTAAGGCAAATTTAGCAGAATTAACATCTCTGCATCATCAAGTGAAAAGATCAGCTATTGATCGACTACCACTGTGTTCATTTTTTCCTTTAATTTAAAATTTATTTTTAGCATTCATTTTTTAAAATTTTGAGTTGAGGCAAGGACTATGATATCAGTTATACATGTGAAGTCATGCAAAACATTTACATATTAGCCATGTTGCAGAAAAAAAAAAGCAAGAAAGTGAAGAGTGTATGCTTCAATCTGCTCTCAAGAGTTCATCAATTCTATTTCTGGAGTTGGATACCATTTGTTCATCGTGGGTCATTTGGGATTGTCTTGGATCAATCAGAGTAGCTAAGTCTTTCACAGTTGACCCTCTTACAATATTGCTGTTAACTATGTACAATATTTTCCTGGTTCTGCCCATTTCACTTTGCTTTAGCTCATGTAAGTCTTCCCAGGTTTTTCTGAAACCATCTACTTTGTCATTCCTTATAGTCCAATAGTATTCCATCACTATCAAACCACATCTTGTTCCTGTTGATGGGCATTTCCTCAGTTTCCAATTCTTCATCACCACAGAGCTTCTATAAATATTTTTGTGCATATAGATCCTTTTCCCTTTTCTTGATTTCTTTGGGGTACGGTCCAAGTAGTGGTATTGCTGTGTCAAAGGGGATGTACAGTTTTATCGCTGTCCATTTTTAATTAAACAATGTGATACTTTCAGGGAGACATAGAAGTACTGTTTTATTGTCTATATATCAAAATGTTAACTCATTTCGCATGCCTCTCCTCAGCTGTGGTCCGGTAGTTCTAGCCAATAATAATGCCTTTTGCCCAGTCACTCCATAAGGCACCATAACAGGGGTTGACTAAAAGAGAGACTGTGCTCCCGGAGGATAATGGCCTCACATTAATGTCTGTTGGCCTATACTTTTGTTCATCCATTGCAGCAAGAATAACTGCCCGAGTTAGGATTTTTAAAGACTGTAAATTCATAACAAATTCTACTGCTTAATAAATGAAATTCTTTTAACAAATCAATAACAGTTGTTAAAGAGGAATCTGATATTGGTTTTTGTTCTGTAGAGTAAAGCCATGGAGGGTGATGAGTGGGAACTGAGTAAAGAAAATGTTCAGCCCTTGAGGCAAGGCCGGATCATGTCCACACTGCAGGAAGCATTGGCACAGCAGGATACTGCCAGTCATACTGCTCTTCATCAGCAAAAAAGGTTAGTGGGACTGACAAAAATCAATCCTCCAGCTTCTCTGTGGCTTCCATGTATCCTAAGTAGTAATAGACCAACCACTTGGGTAGGAATATGCCAGTTGGCAGAAGGAGTGTTAATGGTGATTATAAAATTCTATTTTTTTGAGAACTCATAATGTGTTGCTGTGTTCTTCATCTCCTTATCAGTGTAATAGCTATCTAAGGTAATTTCTCATCAGTGATAAAGATTTACTCTCTTCTGAGATTAGATGTTGTATCTTTTAATATGTCCTCAGCTTAACTAGGTTAATTGTCCGTAATGATGTTTAAAGGTATCCCAGAAATGGGGCTTCTCTTCCTCCCTCAATAAATGAAATTTTAGTATGTTGTTATGGAAAGTATGTTGGATTTGAAGTCAGAGGAAGGTTAGAATCTTAGCTGTGCCTTTTAGACACCTTGAACTGGATGTCCATAGATATGTTAAATTCAACATGTCCAAAACCAAGTTTAGTCTATTTCCCCCCAAACCCTCCCCTTTTTTAACTTTTCTATTACTGTTGAAGGTACTACCATCTTCCCAGTTAGCACAGGCTCTATACTAAGTTGTCATCCTCAAATCCTCACTTTTCACCCTTCATATTCAATTTGTTGCCAGGGCCTGTTGATTTTATCTTTATAATGTGTCTTTCTCGTACTCCCCCTTCTCTTTGACATTGCCACCGTCCTGGTACAGGCTCTCATATCTCCTCACACCTGGATGATTGTCATGGCCTACTAGTTGGACTCCTTCCTCCACTCCTTTGTCAAAGTGATGTTACTAAAGCATAGGATTGACCCTATTATCCCTCTAATCTTCTACTCAAAAGTAATTCCAGTGGTTCCCTATGACCTCCAGGATGAAATATAAAATCCTCTGTTTGACATTCATAGTCCTTCCTAAATACCTCCCCCTCTCTCCCCTCCTCCCTGCCCCCCCCCAATACTTTTCATTCCAGTAACACTGGCCTCCCTTCACTCCTCAAACAAGAAACTCCATCTCCGGAGTGCAGGAATTTTCACTGGTTGTCCCTTGTGCCTGAAATGATCTTCCTCATCTCCATCTCCTGGCTGCCTTGAAGAGGCCTTTCCAATTCCCCCTCAATACTAGTAACATCCCTCTATTGATTACTTCCATTTTCCCCCCATATGTAGCCTGTTTGTACATAGCTGTTTGTATGTTGTCCTCCCCCACCCCATACCCTAGGAGCTCCTTGACGGCAGGAAGTGCTTTGTCTTTCATTGTATCCCCAGGGCTTAGGACAGTGCTTAGGCACATAGTAGGCACTTAATAAATGTTTATTGTCTGATTGACTGCCACTAATTACCTACCTGTGTGCTATTGGACAAAACCACTTAACCTCTCTGAGCCTCAGTTGATCATATCAAGATAAGGAAGTTGTACTATATAACCTGTAAGATCCTTTCTATCTCTAAATCTTCTCTGCTTCTCTAACCTCCAAGCTCCCTTCCAGAACCAAAATTGATACTAAAAAGTTTAACAGTGAATTGCAAGACTAACTAGTTATAGAAAAGTCAGGAAATAACCTTGAGACATTCAAATTCCAGCTATGTGGGCTTTGGATCCTTATGCATCCTGCTTCTTGAGCTTCTGCTTTCCTTAGGTGTTTGGTAACTTCTTCCTAGCCAGGTCAGTGATTTTTCTCTGTCCTCCTCAGTGTCTAAACTATACATACATCTGTTGAATTCTGTCTATAATAATCTGTTAACCTATGGCTTGAGTTTTCTTTGTACTTGTCTAGCATAGACCATGCACATTTTGAAATTTAAAATCTTATAATGTCTAGTACTGTGCAGGAGGTAATGAATATATCCTTAATAAATGAAAATGGAGTTAAGATGTTTGTTCATTTTACTGTTTTTCTCTAATGTACTAGAAGAAATAACAAGGCATTGCCTGTCTTTGTTGCAGAGCATTTGAATCTGAAATTCGCTTTTATACTGGAGATGATCCACTAGATGTTTGGGTGAGGTAGGTGCTCTTGTCCCTTTCACTTGATCCAGTGATCATCCAATGAAGTAGCCTGACAGATGGAGGCTTGGGAACTGCCCTTAGCAAAGTATTTCTGTTCTAAATTAGAATAACATCACTGTTCAGAATAGATATTGGAAAAAAAAAATAACATTCTTAGCTGAGAATTGAGCAATTTTTATCTCTCTTTGTACCAACTTAGATACATTAACTGGACAGAGCAGAACTTCCCTCAGGGTGGAAAGGAAAGTAATATGTCAACATTATTAGAAAGAGCTGTGGAAGCCCTTCAGGAGGAGAAACGATATTATAATGACCCCCGATTTCTCAGTCTTTGGCTTAAATTGGTGAGTAATTGTCAAGAACCACTTACTTTAAAATACTGTTTTACTCTTTAGAGATAGCTAATACATTATGAAAATGGTATAACCTGATTTATATGGATAAAATATGATTCAGAATTCTCTTTGCTATGGCAGTTAACTCGATGCTATACTCATGGTAGATGCTCAATAAATACTCAGTGAATGACATTATTGGAATAATTCTTTGAATTTGAAGTAAATCTTTGAAGATTGATAGAATGAGTCATAATATTACATGGAACTTTAAAAAAAAAACCTTTCAAAGACTTTAGTTATAGGGGTATTATCTTCTCATGTTCACTGCTCACGATTGCAGTTCTATTCAACAAACGTTTATACCCCTGTCGTGTTCTAGGAACTGGGCTGGGTACGCAAAGACAAAAAATGAAACAGTCTTTGACCTCAAGGAGCTCAGGGTATGGAGGGACATTATCCAAGGCATCCATGATTATAAACAAAGTAAATAAAGAATATTTTCAGAAGTGTGCCAGAGAACAGTTGCAACTAGGAGGACCAGGTAAAGCCTCTTCTAGGAAGTGGCCTGTGCTATGCTTAAGGACGACAGGAATTTCATACAGTAGCAGTGAGGAGGGTAAAACATTCTAGCATAGGGACCAGCAGCTTGTAGAAAGACAGGAAAACAGGAGCTAGAATGACCATTGTTTATGGAGAATAGTAAGGAGGTCAGTTGGCTTGGAATGAGAGTACATGAATAATAGTAAAGTGTGATCTGAACAAAGCTATGGTAACACGAGACCTTGGGGATGCCTAAAATACATAGATAATTTTTTTAAAATTAATTTTATTTTTAGTTTTCAACAATCACTTCCATAAGCTTTTGGGTTTAAAATTTTCTCCACCTCCCTCCCCAAGAGTGAGCACAATCTGATATGGGCTGTACATGTACATTCCTATTAAACATAGTTTCACATTAGTCATGTTGTAAAGAAGAATTAGAACCAATAGGAGGAACTAAAACAAAACAGAAGGAAAAAAAAAGAGCAAACAGTACTCTTCAATCTGCATTCAAACTCCGTAGTTCTTTCTCTGGATGTGGGTACCATTTTCCGTCAAGATGTCTTAGATCCTTGCATTGCTGAGAAGGACTAAATCCAACTAGTTAGTCATTGCGCAACGTGGCTGTTAATGTGTACAAGGTTCTGGTTCTGCTCACTTCACTCAGCATCGGTACATAGAGACAGATAATTTTTAAGACTTATTTTAACACTCGAAGGAGTGAATTTAAGAATACTTCTAAGGACCAAGCTGCATCAATTAACATAGGCCATTTTTTTTTTAATCTCTAAGGCAAAGTAAATAGAGATAGTAGGATGAAAATTTTTATTTCAAAGTAAAATAAAATTTTTGTGTCATTTGATGCACCTGGTCCTTCTAGTGTTATAGCGACCTTTTTTTCCATCAAATTTTTAACTTGAAATCTTCTTCATTTCCCTTGCTGGCCTATTGGAGTTATTTATGAGTAGTGAAATGGTTTAAAGACTATCAAAAGAAAAACAAGAAATATAGATCTCGGATGCACGAAATTGAATTGTAAGCCCAAGAATAAACTATGTTTTTGTTGAAATCGACTTCTTGGTTTTTTATTTGTTTGTTTTTATCTGGAAGGGTATATGGGAGGGATTGGGTATGAACATAGTGAGTAGCATATTCCCATTCCCTTGCACCTGTGGTACCATCACTTTGCCCAAAGGTTCCTCATAAGGACCTGACTACTGTTACAGCAACCAGAGTTTTGTATTTGTTTTTCATGTTAAAGATTCGTTTCATCTTGAGGAAGAAAAATTTGTTGCCAAAAACAAATGGTACCTTCAGTCAAGGAAAGCTGTAAGCTGTCCTTTTACATCCTTTACTTAGGGGATACCTCTATTATTCCTAGAGTTCTAAAAGACCAATATTTATAAATTTTGTGTTTAACTTTGGAAGCTGTCACTGTATCAGTCTCCATTCCCTTTAGGCATTCCGGGCAGAGTTGGGTTACTGGTTAGTGCAAATGATCTATTTCCAGTGTAGTTGCATTAGAAGTTATAATTATACGTAAAATGTGGTCATTAGTTCCAGCTCAATGAAAATATGTAATGAATTTTTTTAAAATAAGGTTTTAACTGTTTTTTAATGTAATGTAACAGCAAAATGTATTTCAGATCAAATTTACTATAAACTAATAGAGTAGTTATAAAAAGCAAAATTTTAAAAATCTGAATATTTTATTTGAAGATAAGCTTATACTGACTATATGACACAAACCCTGTTACTTTCTTTTAAAATATTTTAGCAGTTAAGACTGAGATGTCTTTTCTTTCTTTAAATCTTCATACAAACTCTTGTAGGTGCAGATTTCAGTGTAGCCACACCTTAGTAGGTTTTCATGCTCACATTCTCACGTAATGAACCCAGTGTAGTTGGATGACTTGAGACATTATCTAAAATGAGTAATGCTTTAAATGTGATATTGTTGTCCTTGCAATATTTTCCAGTAGCTGGGATAAAAAAAAAACAAACAAACTTGAAAACCAATCTTTAGAATCAGTTTTAGTCACCATTGCTTTCATATTTGACCGCTAAAGAACTGGAAGGATTGATTGTTACAGCCTTTCAGAGCCCAAGAATTTTGAGACCAATCATTGGTTTTAGTTTAAAATCCCAGTTCAAGTGTTCTTCTTTCTAAGTTCTGGAAGAAATCTCATCTACATCAAAAATATGTTGATCAGTGTATCAGTCATCCGTAGATTATTTTCTTCAGGACATTGGGATAGTTAGCTGTACCCTCATCTGCACCAACTACCTCTGAGACATTTTATAACTCTTACTAAATCAAATTTTGAATTATTCAAACTCACATTAATTGTGACCTAGCTGTGTTTCTCAAGAATTTATTCTCTTAAAGTGGTCTAGTTGGGAACTCTGGAATAACCATATTCTTGTTGAGTAAACTATGCTACAGTAACCCTCAGAAGCCTGTGGGTGTAGTGAATTCAAAGAGGAGATTTTATATTTTGTTTTCAAAATTCACTTGATGGTCTGTGTCCATGACTAGAGCTAATGCTGACAGCCCAGAGAGGGCAGCACCTTTTCCCAAAATAATAACTAACTAAATAAATAAATAAATAAGAGAATACATGGATTTCCCTAATTTGGGTAAATGAAGCAGAAAACCCAGCCTGAATGATAGAACTGTTTTGTTTTTTTTTAATTGCAGTTGTTGAAAAAATTTTCAATTGCGTTCCTTTCTAGCTGATAGAGTAACTAGTCCTCCCTCTTTCTTGCGGTATTTAAGAAACTTTCTTTAATCGATGTCATTAGGTTGTTGATTGTATGTAATGCTTGCTTTTAATGTACTTCAGCCATATTGAAAATCTTTTGGGTTAAGTAGTGTACTCGTATGAACAAAACTGCCGGGAAATTTTTTAATTTATCCAGCAAACTGTTAGTATGTATGTGCTGGAAAAATAAACTTCAAATAAGCGCTTTCATTGTTATCACAAACTGTGGATGACCTCCTTTTAAAGGCCATTAGTCTATGCCAACATAGTTTGTGGAGCTACTATTTTCTTTTTTTTTTTTTTTAATTTATTTTGATTTATCAGCAATCACTTCCATAAGCTTTTGAGTTTTAAATTTTTCTCCACCTCCCTTCCCACTTCCCTCCCCAAGATGGCACACAATCTGATATGGGCTATACGTATACATTCCTATTAAACATATTTTCACATTAGTGATGTTGTAAGGAAGAATTATAACCAATAGGAGGAACCACCAGAAAGAGGAAACAAAACTCAACAGAAGAAAAAAAAATAGCAAATAGTATGCTTCAATCTGCATTCAAACTCCATAGTTCTTTCTTTGGATGTGGATAGCATTTGCCATCATGAGATCTTTGGAGATGGTCTTAGATCCTTGCATTGCTGAGAAGGGCTAAGTCTGTCAACGTTAGTCATCACACAACGTAGCTGCAATGTTCTCCTGGTTCTGCACACTTCACTCACATCAGTCCATATGAGTCTTTCCAGGTTTTTCTGAAGTCTGCCTGCTCATCATTTCTCATAGCACAATAGTATTCCATTATGTTCATATACCACAACTTGTTCAGCCAGTCCCTAATTGATGAGCATCCCCTCAATTTCCAATTCTTTGCCACCACAAAAAGAGCTGCTATAAATATTTTTGTACATATGGGTTCTTTCCCCATTTTTATGATCTCTTTGGGATACAGCCCTAGAAGTGCTATTGCTGGGTCAAAGAGTATGCACATTTTTATAGCCCTTTGGGCATAGTTCCAAATTGCTCTCCAAAATGTTTGGATCATTTCACAACTCCATCAACTATGCATTAGTGTTCCAATTTTCTCCAACATTTATCATTTTCCTGTTTTGTCATGTTGGCCAATCTAATAGGTGTGATGTGGTTCCTCAGAGTTGTTTTGATTTTGCATTTCTCAGATCAATGGTGATTTAGAGCATTTTTTCATATGACTATAGATGACTTTAATTTCTTCATCTGAGAACTGCTTGTTCATATCCTTTGACCATTTATCAATTGGGGAATGACTTGTATTCTTATAAATTTGACTAAATTCTCTATATAGTTTAGAAACGAGACCCATATCAGAGACACTGTAAAAATTCTTTCCCAGTTTTCTACTTTCCTTCTAATCTTGGTTCCATTGGCTTTCTGCAAAAACTTTTCAACTTAATGTAATCAAAATTATCCATTTTGCATTTCATAATGTTTTCTATCTCCTGTTTGGTCATGAATTCTGTTTGGAACTACTATTTTCCCAGCTTATATGCTACTGGGCATTCTACTGGTTTTATCCTTTGTTGCCAGGAGACACATTTTCTATGTCAATTTTTTTTTTTGTTAATTTATTTTTTTTATTTTTAGTTTTCAACATTTACTTCCACAAGATTTTGAGTTCCAAATTTTCACCCCATCTTGCCCCTCCCCCACCCCAAGATGGCATGCATTCTGAATTCCCCTAGTCTGCCTTCCCTGCTATCTCTCCACCCCTTCCCCTTCTATTTTCCTATAGGGCAGGATAGACTTCTGTACCCCGTTTCCTGTATTTCTTATTTCCCAGTTGCATGTGAAAAGTTTTTTTTAAACGTGTTTTTTTTAAACTTTGAGTTCCAAATTTTCTCCCTTCCTCCCTCCCCACCCACCTTCATTGAAAAGGCAAGCAACTCAATATAGGCTATACTTGTGCAGTTATGAAAAACACTTCCATAGTAGACATGCTGTAAAAAACTAACTCTATTTCCCTTAATCCTATCCTGCCCCCCCATTTATTCTGTTCTTTCTTTTGACTCTGTCCCTCCTCAGAAGTATTTGCTTCTGATTACTCCCTTTCCCAATCTGCCCTCCTCTCTATCATCCCCCAACTCTCTTGTCCCCTTCCCCTCCTATTTTACTGTAGGGTAAGACAGATTTCCATACCCAATTGAGTGTGTATGTTATACCCTCCTTAAGTCAAATCCTATGAGAATAAGATTCACTCATTTCCTCTTACCTTCCCCCTTTTCCCCTCCACTGTAAGAGCCTTTTCTTCTCTGTTTTTTTTGTGAGATAATTTACCCCATTCTACCTTTCCCTTTCTCCTTCTCCTAGTATAATCCTCTCTCACCCCTTAATTTTATTCTCCAGATATGACCCCTTCATCTTCAACTCACCCTGTGTCCTCTATTTATCTATCTATATATATACATACATATAATTTTTTCCCTCCAACTACCCTAATACTGACAAAGGTGTCATGAGTTATACAAATATCATCTTTCCATGCAGGAATGTAAACAGTTCAACTTTAATAAGTCTCTTATGATTTCTCTTTCCTGTTTACCTCTTCATGTTCCACTTGAGTCTTGTACTAGAAAGTCAAATTTTCTATTCACCTCTGGTCTTTTCATCAAGAATGCTTGAAAGTCCTCTATTTCACTGAATGACCATTTTTTCCCCTGAAGAATTATACTCAGTTTTGCTGGGTAGGTGATTGTTGGTTGTAATCTAATCTCTTTTGCCCTCCGGAATATTATATTCCATGCCCTGCGGTCCCTTAATGTAGAAGCAGCTAAACTTTGTGTTATTTTGATTGTGTTTCCACAATACTTGAATTGCTTCTTTCTGGCTGCTTGTAATATTTTCTTCTTGACCTGGGAACTCTGGAATTTGGCTACAATATTCCTAGGAATTTTCCTTTGGGGATCTCTTTCAGGAGGAGATCAGTGGATTCTTTCAATTTCTATTTTACCCTCTGGTTCTAAAATATCAGGGCAGTTTTCCTTGATCATTTCTTGAAAGATGATATCTAGGCTCTTTTTTTGATCATAGCTTTCAGATAGTCCAATAATTTTTAAATTCTCTCTCCTGGATCTGTTTTCCAGGTCAGTTGTTTTTCCAATGAGATATTTCACATTGTTTTCTATTTTTTCATTCTTTGGTTTTGTTTTACAGTGTCTTGATTTCTCATAAAGTCACTAGCTTCCAATTGCTCCATTCTAATTTTTAAGGAAGTATTTTCTTCAGTAAGCTTTTGGACTTCCTTTTCCATTTGTCCAGTTTTGATCTTTAGGGCATTCTTCATTGGCTTTTTGGACCTCTTTTGCCATTTGGGTTAAGCTATTTTTTAAGGTGTTATTTTCTTCACTATTTTTTTGGGTCTCCTTTAGCAAGCTGTTAACTTGCTTTTCGTGATTTTCTTGCATCACTCTCGTTTCTCTTCCCAGTTTTTCCTCTACTTCTCTTACTTGCTTCTCAAAATCCCTTTTCAGCTCTTCCAAGGCCTGGGACTGATTCATATTTTTCTTGGAAGTTTTGACTTTGTTTTCTTCTTCTGGTTGTATGTTTTGATCTTCTTTGTCACCAAAGTAAGATAATATAGTCTGACTCTTTTTGTGCTGCTTGCTCATGATCCCAACCAATTACTTGAGTTTTAAACTCTTTGTTAAGGTAAGAGTCTGTTTCCAATGTGGAGAATGTACTGCCCAAGCTTCGGGGGGTTTGTACAGAGATACTTCTAGGGACCTGAAAATTTTCAGTTCTTCCAAGGTGCTATGATACGGGGCGAGGTGTTTCCTCTCCACCGCCACAACAAGCTCCACCAGATCAGCACTCCTCCTTACCCCAGGAACACCCCTCAGAATTGTGTCCCAGACCCAAGCACCGGTAAAGCAAGAGATTCCTGCCTCAGCCCTGGCAAAGAGATCCTTGCAATCCCCCTCTGATCAGCCACTCGATTCCCCCTCAGTCTGTGGGCCAGAAGCTCAGCAGGCAGCCGCTGCCCGTGGGGCAGCTGAGATCTAGCTGCTTCTCTCACCACAGTAACAGACTTTTCCCACTGACCTTCTAAGTTGTCTTTGGCATTCATGGATTGAGGAGTCTGGAAACCATAGCTGCCTGCAATTCAGTCCTCTGAGGCCTGCTCCAGGGTCGCTGGGACCTGCGCGCCCATGCCAAGCTGCACTCCTCTCCCAGCCTGGTGCGATATACCTTTCCAATCAGCCATCCAGGTTGTCTTGGGCTGGAAATTTGTTTAACTCTGTTTTTTTGTGGGTTCTGCTGCTTTAGAATTTGTTTAGAGCCATTTTTTGTAGGTGTTTGGAGGGGTTTGGGGGTGAGCTCTAGCAAGTCACTGCCTTCCCTCCGCTGTCTTGGCTCCGCCTCTTCCTATGTCAATTCTGAGCACTGTTCTGTTACTCTTGGTCTATTCTCCTATCTCTGTGTCTATTGTCATCTTCGATAACTGTATATGCTACTCTTTTGGTATCTTCTGCTTTTCCCATTCAAATGACTTATATTTAATCAAGAGGCATTTATTCAGCATCTGCTATGAGCCAGGATCTGCCTTTTGATAAATATTCTTAGTAAGCAAAATAGAAACTTGAAGTTTTAGCCCAGGCATGGCTGCTTTTATAATTTCTATGAAAAATGGTATCTTTGTGTAGTTTCTGTTAACATCTAGATCTAATGCTGTAAGAGTAGAACTGAAATTAATTTTATTTTTTAAAGTTTCCTAAAAATCATTACTGATATAAAAGCATACTTTCCTAGAGATAGCAGTATTTGTGAATTGAACAGTCATCTCTTTAGGAAATAGTTTTAGAGAAGGAAAAACTTCCCTATCTGTGTTCTAGAAAAAACTTCCCAGCTAAGAATCAGTGGATCAGTGGCAATATTAATAAAGGAAGCTTTAGACCTATCTCTCCCATGAGCTTTAAGAATGAAATATAAAGCCAACTATAGGGGTGGTTATGAGTAGGGAATTAAAAAATTTCGGTAGGGAGAGCACTATTTTCAATAGTGGGTCATACTCAGATGCCTCTCCACTTAGAAAGAAATATATTGCTGATTATTTGTTAGAAGTGTTTGTTTGTTTGTTTGTTTTTCTCCTCTGAGGAAAAGAAGGGGAGAGAAAATTCCTGATAATAAAAAAATACATTGCTGAAATGAGACAGAATAGAGAATGGATTTTTACAGAGGAACATGGTAGATCATGTGAAAGAGTGAAATGACAGAGTACTATCAAGATGACAGTAGAGACAGTAAGGTGTGAAGTATAAGAATACTCATGAGCCTTAGGTTCTGTGAATAAGTAGGCCAATTATGTATTTCTATGGTTGGTTGAAAAGTAGTTTTGCTTAGAGCCAGGTAATGGGATAGTGTGTCATAGCGGGAGAAACACTGCTCAGAAGTCAAAAGACTTCTTTGAGTCTCATTTCTGCCATTTGGTAGTGTTCAAGTTGCCTCATTTTGCTCAATTATCCTAAGGAAATAATAATACTTTTACTACCTGCCTACTAAGGAAAGTGCTTAACTCTTCCCTCCCTCTTACACCATTTAAAATAAACAAAAATTACCTTGGGTTACTTTCTTACCTCCCCTGTGTCTTTTAAAGGTTACTTAAGCCAGCCAGCAACTACCCTTTGCCTCGTCCAATCTCACTGGTCTTTGTGTTATGAGGAAAAAAGCTGGTAGTGGCAGGATGCAAAATTGAAGGCTTTCTACCTTACTATTCTTAAATCCAAGATTTGTATGGGCCTAACTCTGATTCTCAGGTTAGCCTAATTACCTCCCTATTATCTGATATCTTAATTATTTCTTCTGGGTAAATTTTTGGTATGTGTGTCCTTGCCTTGATGCATTATTAAAACTTGATAACTTTTTAAAAACCAACTTAGGATGTTGCAATTGTTGCAGGGACGTTTATGCAATGAACCTTTGGATATGTACAGTTACTTGCATAGCCAAGGGATTGGCATTTCTCTCGCCCAGTTCTACATTTCATGGGCTGAAGAATATGAGGCCAGAGAAAACTATAAGAAAGCAGATTTGATATTCCAAGAAGGATTTCAATGCAAGGCTGAGCCACTGGACAAACTGCAGTCACATCATCGGTAAGCTACCTTTCTGGATAAAATGGAGATGACCAATGTAAACATTTGTATAAAGTATTGGTAGGGAGTTTGTGTTTTTTCTTCTGAATACAAGCCAATCTCTGATAGCAAGCATCTTTGACAAATGTTTAATGCTCATATTTTGGGTGGCTACACTTGTGTTATCTACTGTGGTTGCAACAATACAATCCAGTGAAACAAATATTTAACACTTGCTGTGTGCAAAGCACTGTGTTAGAGGCCAGAGATCTAAAATAAAATGAAAAATAGCCCTTGCTCTCAAGAACTTCCTTTCTAGTGGGAGATAGAACATGTGAACAGAAGCATGTATACCTGATAATTTGAGGAGGAAAGAGAGAACATTAGCCCTAACTAAGGAGATTAGAAAAGGATTCCAAGAGCTGAGGGCAGCTAGGTGGCACAGTGGATTGAGCCCTGGGCCTGGAGTCAGGAAGACTCATCTTCCTGAGTTCAAATCTGACCTGGGACACTTACTAGTTGTGTGACCCTGGGCAAGTCACTTCACCCTGTTGGCCTCAGTTGCGTCATCTGCAAAATGATCTGGAGAAGGAAATGGCAAACCAGTCCAGTATCTTTGCCAAGAAACCCCAAATGGGGTCATGAAGAGTCAGATGCAACTGAAAAATGACTGAAAAATTCCTCTAGGCGAACCCTGAAGAAACCTAGGGATTCTAAGGCAGAGATGAGGAGGGAGTGCATCCAGTTATGAGAGAGCCTGTGAAAAGGCACAAAAGTGGGAGGTGGAATATCAAGGTTAGGGAACCCAGGACCTAGTTTCAGATTCTACTTTCACCACTTAACTGCTTTGTGAACTGGAGCACATCAGTTCCTATGGCCCTGTAGGCTTCAATTTCATCATCTGTAAATGGGAGGCTCAGATCAGATCTTGTCAATTTTAAGCCTCTTGTTCTTATTCTGGAAGCTGGGCCAAAAATCCAGAGGTCCCTGATTTAGAGCCGGAGAGGGCCTTAGGCCTTACTCGGTCTAATTCCCTAGTTTGAAGATGAAGAAATTAACATCCAAAGAAGGGGAGCAGTTTGGTCAGCATTACATAGGTGTCATACAAACATTCAGATCTCGGTTGGCTGACTCCAGAACCTGCACTTTTCCCACTGCTCTGTACACTATTTCAATCCGTTGTCTGTTCTCTTTAGGCAGTTCCAGTTTCGTGTGTCTCGGCACACTCTGTTGGCACTTGAAAAAGAGGAGGAAGAGGATGTCCCTGAGGCTTCCGGACCTCAGCGAAGCACCTTGGCTGATCTGAAAAGCAAAGGGAAAAAAATAGCAAAAGTTCCCATTAACCGTGTAGGAGGTGCTCTTAAAGGTAAGCTTAGTACATGGGCATCACCGAGTCTTGTAAAAAAAAAAAAATACTTAACATGAGTAAGGAGAAACAGCTGACTTCAGAAGAGATTCTGACTGCAGAAATACAAAATTGGGACTTAATAGTCATGTTAGGACTGTACAGCATTTGGGGGCAAAGGGAAGGTGTAGTGGCTTATAATAATACTAACAGGTCAGGAATTTTGTGCCATTGCAAACAAGCTCTGGGCTTTAAGCTGGTAGCAATGATTCATTAGTGTCTCTGTGCTTGGCATTGGCAAAGGCTAACAGACCCACAGAGCAGTCATATTCATTTGGTTCTGAGATTTTTAACTTGAGGGGCATAAAGAGCTTATAAGGAACTTAGGAGAAAATCTTGAGAATTAGTGAAAGACCCAGAAAATTAGTACATGAAGACATGTTAAAAGAACTGAGCTTTTTTTTTTTTTAATCCAACAAAGAATAAAGGGTAAAAATGATTTAAGGTTTTGAATAGATGAAGAATAACTAGACAAGGTCTCTTTGTCTTCATTGACAGAAAATTGGCTTAGATTGCAACCCTGGGTCTTAGGTGAGCATAAAAGAGGAGCTGGCAGGGTGCCTGGGGGGAGTAGGTAATTTCTTTATGGAAGTTGGTGAATTTTGGATAGGACTGCTAAACAAGAGTGATGAATTAATTAGTAGATTGCTGGAAAACTCTTTCCATCTTTGATTCTATGCTAATTTAAGACAAACTACTCACAGCCGTAAGATAGAATATCAAGAAGTTATTTTATCTGATTTATAAGAGTAAATAATAGTTTTTATTTAAGAGGTTACTTTTCTCAAAGTAACTTTACCAGAATTGGAGTAACAATATACATACTATCTATGACTGTATTTTTTTAAAAAGCCCGTAACAGAACTTTGTAAGTACACTGATAGAAGAGATCAGCATAGGACAAAAAGCAAGTAAATCATTGTTACTTTGTTAACAGATATGCAGATAAAGTTAATCAGAATGATAGTGTTGTGGTTTGAGGTAAAAATTCATATTCTTTGTTTAGTTGTAGTTGTTATTAACTTTATAATTATTGAAAATGTACAAGTTACCTTTTTTTTTCCTAGCTGCAAACCAGGGCCTAGGACTTCCAAATCCAGTTAATCAGCAGATATTAACTGGCTCCAAATTTGCTGTTTTTGATGAAAATGCTGATGGAGCCTCTAGAACAGAGCTGCCTATGGTTACAGCAGAACCATGGAAAGCACCACCTGTTCGTAGGGCCAAAGAGAATGAGCTGCAGGCGGGACCTTGGACCAAAGCCCGAGTAAGGACACACATTGGCTGCGTTTGCCTGTGGGCTAATAGAGGGTTGAATTGGGGAAAGGAATGGAAATTCTTTAGCATTTACATTTTCTGGCATCTTCTCAATAGGGCGGTAGGCAGAAATATTTAGAAGTATCTTGGATGAAAGAGCTACTGCCAGTATATCTGTTCATCTTAAATCTTTTCCCACTTTACCCTCCAACAGCTTCGTAGTAATCCAGCTTCTGTGGCCACTGTGCCAACTGCGCTACCAAATTTTATCCCATATGTGGAAGAGTCTGCACAACAACAAATCATGTGAGTTTGATTCTCAGATGTTCTTAAGTAGGAATTAGTAAGTAATGAGGACTGCTTATATTCTAGGGATGAGGGCCATCAGCCAGTCCTCTTTATACCTTCACATACTCTAGAAACATTAGACAATATCCTTAGTAGGGAACAACCATTGTTAAAGGAACTCTGCTGTCTTTACACAGGATAGTCAAGGATAATCATTTTACTTTAAGATAAATGTTCTGCTTTCATCAAAATAATTAGTGGTTATCAAAATTCAGTTGTTTTTAATTTCTCAGGTTCTGAATTGTACAAGTCTGGCTTTTCACAGTGAGGAAATATTGATTAAACTTATATTGGCTATCAAGGCATATGATAAGTTAACATGATAATCAGGTTCTTAATATTTCTCTTATTTTAACTATCTTGAGTACCTATTGAGCATCTGTTTCATTTCATTTTTTTTATTTAAAGGTCTTTTTTTTTTGTTTTGTATTAATGCCCATTGCTTTTATGTTACATTTGTTTGCAAATACACCCTTCCTTCTATACCAACAAAGTCCACCCTTATAACAAAGATTTACAGAGAAGAAAAAAACAATTCAGCAATACCAGCCAGTACATTGATTTCATCTGGCAATCCATGAAATATTCCATAATGAAAATCTCTTTCCTATACAGTGAAGGAAGGGACATGTATTTTCTCAACTCTTTTTCAGAACTAGACTTGGTCGTTATAATTACATAGTATTTAGTTTGCCTCTTTGGTTTTTTAGCATTGTTGTAGTCATTATGTTTTTCTAGTTCTATTTGCTTCACTATGCATCAATTCTTATAAGTCGATGATTCTCTAAATTCTTCATTTGTCCTTTCTTAAAGCATAGTAATAATACATTTATGTAGCATATTTTGTTTAGTCATTTCCTGATGCGTGCCTAATTCATTTCTACTTCTTGTTATCACAAAAAATAAAATCCTGAGGCTTTACCTGTTATGAATATTTTGATGTGTATGATATCTTTCTTTTTGTCTTGAACCCTCTTGGAGGATTTTTCTAGAAGTAGGATTTCTGCATCAAAGAATGTGTCCATTTTAGTCACGATTTTTTAGCATGATTCCAAACTGCTTTCTGGAGTGGCTAGACTGATTCATAGTTCCACCAACAATGTATTGGTTTGCTTGTCTTCCCACAGTCTCTTCAGCATTGACCATTTCTATCTTTCTCCATCTTTGCTAATTCTCTACATCAGAGGAGAAACCTCAGTTTTAATTTGCATGTCTCTTGTTAGTGATTTGGAGTAATCTTATGTTTGATCATCTTTACAATTCTTTTGAGAATTGTACATTTCCTGACTACTACTCTGAGCAGTGATTCTTGTCATATACATACATACATATACATATGTATTTGTGTTAGTTCCTTGTATATCTTAAATATGAGATATCAGAGATATTTGATGCAAATTTGTTTTTGAAGCAATAGCGTCCTTTCTTAAGATAAGAATTCTTAAAGAAGTAGTTTTTTCTTTCTTTTTTTTGTTTTTTTTTTTGCTAGGCAATGGGGTAAGTGATTTGCCCAGGGTCATACAGCTAGTAAGTGTCAAGTGTCTGAGGCTGGACCTGAACTCATGCCCTCCTGACTCCAGGGCTGGTGCTCTAAAGTAGTTTTTTCTTTGCTCAGAGCTTTGAAACGTAGAGATGGGCTGTTATCTACACTTTGAAACTACTGCTTACTAATGCCTCTGATCCCATTAGTACCTCAGTTTGGTAATTCTGAAATCACTGTGACATCTGTACCCCTTTTACTATAAAGAGAGAAACTGGTAAATTTGCAATTCTTGGAACGGATTATAAGGAGATCCATGTTTGAAATTTCATTTTAGCACTGTGAAAAACTCTAGGTTTATTAGATTATTCCTTGAGTCACTGATTACTTGATTCATTTTAACTTCTTTTGTTTTTCTTCTGCAGCAGATCTTTTTTGTTGATTCTTTGGGTCTCTTCAGGCTACCATCTAGAATCTAAAATCTGCCTTTTTGTCTCTCTTTCTCTATCAGGCCTGCACAACATATGGCCCATGGGTGGTATGTTGTGCAGGCTTGTTTTACATCCTCTACATTATTTGCAGGCTGCCTTAAATTTTTTTGTGTTGCCAGTTGTTCAGGCCTGCTCTTTCCCTTCTCTGTCTCTTTCTCTCTCTTTCTGTCCCCAGATATATATACATATATACATACACACACACACACACACACACATATGCATATATATACACATACCTATATATGTATGCATAGATATAAATAAAGAGATCAGGGGATTATCTGCATAGAGTTATAATTGAACCCATGGGAGCTGATGAGATGATTGTTAGATCCTATAGAATGAAAAGAGAAACAGGCCCTGAATAGAACCTTAGGGAACACCTAGGGTTAGTGAGCTTGTTGTGGATGAAGAACAGGAAGGGATACTGAAAAGGAGTAGTTAAACAGATAGGAGGAGAACCAGGAGATACTCTTTTTGTAGGGGCAAAGAGCTGAAAATTAAGGGGATGCCTATCAGCTGGGGAATGGTTGGACAACTTATACCTCCCAAATGTAATGGAATATATTGAGTCAAAAGAAATGATGAAAGGGATTCAGGGAAACCTGGGAAGACTTCTTTGATATTATGCAGAGGGAAATGAGCAAGAGTAGAACAACTGATACAATAACTACAACGTTGTAAATACAAGTAACTTCAAAAGACTTATAAGAACTCTGATCAGTGCACTGGACCAACCATATCTCCAGAGGATGATAATACATGTTAACCCACCTCCTGACAGATGATGGACTCATTTTTGGATACACTGCTGTGTGTTTTCCCTTCTTTTGGTTTTTCTTTGTGGATAAGGTGGAGGAAAGAGGGGCTAGCAACAATAATGGCACAGAAAAGGATCATTGAAACATTTTTTTGTTTCTTGATAATTAATTTATTTATTTTTGGTTTTCAACGTTTCCTTCCTTGTTTTTTTTTTCCTTTTTTTTGGTGAGGCAATCAGGGTTAAGTGACTTGCCCAGGGTCACACAGCTCGTGTCAAGTGTCTGAGGCCAGATTTGAACTCAGGTTCTCCTGACTCCAAGGCCAGAGCTCTATCCACTGTGCCACCTAGCTGCCCCTACTTCCGTAAGATTTTTGAGTTTTAAATTTTTAAAAATTTTTTAAAATTTTCTCCACCTCCTCCTCCCCAAGATGGCATGCAATCTGATATAGGCTTTATTTATACATTCATATTAAGCATATTTTCCCATTAGTCCTGATATAAAGAACAATTAGAACTAGTGGGAGGAACCACTGGAATGAAGCATTAAAATGAAACAACACAGGAAAAGGAGAGCAAATAGTATGCTTCCATCTGTATTCATATTCCATGGTTTTTTCTCTGGATGTGGATAGCAATTTCCATTTTGAGTCTTTTGGAGTTGTCTTAGATTCCTGCATTGCTGTGAAGAGCCAAGTCTATCAAAGTCAGTCATCACACATTGTGGCTGTTCTCCTGATTCTGTTCATTTCACTCAGTATCAGTTCGTGTAAGTCTTCGCAAGTTTTTTTGAAGTCTGTTGGCTCATCATTTCTTATAGCACAATAGTATTCCATTACGTTCATATGCCACAAATTGTTCAGTCATTCCCCAATTGATGGGCATCCCCTCAATTTCCAATTCTTTGCCACTACACAAAGAGCTGCTATAAATATTTTTGTACGTGTGGGTCCTTTTCCCATTTTTATGATCTCTTTGGGATACAGACCTAGAAGTGGTATTGCTGGGTCAAAGGGTATGCACAATTTTGTAGCACTTTGGGCATAGTTCCAAATTGCTCTCCAAAATGATTGGATTATTTCACAACTCCACCAACAATGCATTAATGTTCCAATTTTCCTACATCTTCTCCAACATTTATCATTGTCCTGTTTTGTCATGTTAGCCAATCTGATAAAATACTTAAATCCCATTTCAGAAAAAGAAATTGAACAAGCCATCAATGAACTCCCTAAGAAAAAATCTCCAGGGCCAGATGGATTTACAAATGAGTTCTATCAAACATTTAAAGAACAACTAATTCTAATACTATATAAACTATTTGGGAAAAAGGAGTCCTACCAAATTCTTTTTATGATGGTATTGACACCTAAACTGGGAAGATCCAAAACAGAGAAAGAAAATTATAGACCGATTTCTCTAATGAATATAGATGCAAAAATTATAAATAAAATATTAGCAATGAGATTACAACAACTTATCTCAAGGATAATACACTATGACCAGGTAGGATTTATACCAGGAATGCATGGCTGGTTCAGTATTAGGAAAATTATCAGCACAATTGACCATAACAACAAAACTAACAGAAATCATGTGATTATCTCAATAGATACAGAAAAAGCATTTGACAAAATACAACACCCATTCCTCTTAAAAACACTTAGAGAGCATAGGAATAAATGGAGTCTTCCTTAAAATGATAGCATCTATCAAAAACCATCAGCAAGCATTATATGTAATAGGGATAAGCTAGAAGCATTTCTAATAAGATCAGAGGTGAAACAAGGATGTCCTCTGTTATTCAATATTGTGCTAGAAATGTTAGCTGTAGCAATTAGAGAAGAAAAAGAAATTGAAGGAATTAGAATAGGCAAAGAAGAAACAAAGCTATCACTCTTTGCAGATGATATGATGACATATTTAGAGAGTCCTAGAGAATCACATAAAAAATTACTTGAAATAATAAACAAATTTAGCAAAGTTGCAGGATATAAAATTAACCCATACAAATCATCAGCGTTTGAATATATTACTAACAAAGCCCAGTAGTAAGAGATAGAAAGAGAAATTCCATTTAAAATTAATGTAGACATTATAAAATATTTGGGAGTCTACCTGCCACAACAAAACCAGGAACTATATGAACACAATTACAAAACACTTTCACACAAATAAAGTCAGATCTGAATAATTGGAAAAATATCACTTGCTCATGAGTAGGCTGAGCTAATATAATAAAAATGACAATTCTACCTAAGTTAATTTACTTATTCAGCACCATACCAATCAAACAACCAAAAAATTATTTTATAGAGCTAGAAAAAAACAATAACAAACATCTGGAAGAACAAAAATATCAAGGGAACTAATGAAAAGAAATGCAAGGGAAGGTGGCTTAGCTGTACCAGATCTTAAATTGTATTATAAAGCAGCAATCACCAAAACTACTTGGTACTGGCTAAGAAATAGAGTGGTGGATCAATGGAATGGGTTAGGTATGTCAATGACTATAGTAATCTACTATTTGATGAATCCAAAGACTCCAGCTTCTGGGATAAGAAATCACCATTTAATAAAAACTACTGGGAAAACTGGAAAAATGTATGACAGAAACTGGGCATAGACCAACATCTTATATCGTTTATCAAGATAAAGTCAAAGTGGGTGCAGGATTTAGATATAAAGACTGATACCATAAGCAAACTAAAAGAGCAAGGAATAGTTCACCTTTCAGATATATGGAAAAGGGAAGAATTTATGACTAAACAAGAGATAGAGAACATTATGAAATGCAAAATGGATAATTTTGATTACAGTAAATTGAAAAGTTTTACACAATCAGAACCAATGCATCCAGGATTAGGAGGGAAGCAGAAAATTGGGAAAGAATTTTTATAACCAGTGTCTATGATAAAGGCCTCTTTTTTTTTTTTAAGTGAGGTAATCAAGGTTAAGTGACTTGCCCAGGGTCACACAGTAAGTTTCAAGTGTCTGAGGCCAGATTTGAACCCAGGTTCTCCTGACTCCAAGGCTGGAGCTCTATCTACTGCGCCACCTAGCTGCCCCCCTCATTTCTAAAATATGTAGAGAACTGAGTCAAATTTATAAGAATACAAGTCATTCTCCAGTTGATAAATGGTCAAAGGATATGAACAGGCAGTTTTCAGATGAAGAAATTAAAGCCATCTATAGTCACATGAAAAAATGTTCTAAATCACTACTGATTAGAGAAATGCAAATCAAAATAACTCTGAGGTACCACATCACACCTATCAGATTGGCCAACATGATGAAACATTTTTTTAAATGCACAGGAGAGCACGGAGGAAAGTTCAGAAGGAAACACAAACAGGACAGTTTTGAGAGTAATGTATGGAATTTATCATATGTTTTTTAAAAAAGCAAACGGACAGCTAGGTGGTACAATAGATAGAGCACTGGCCCTGAAATCAGGAGGATCTGAGTTCAAATCCAGCCTCAGACGCTTGACAGTTACTAGCTGTGCAAGCAAGTCACTTAACCTGATTGCCTCGCCCCACCCCCACCCCCCAAAAAAAGCAAACAGTATGAAATAGAAAATCAGGGTTTCGTGTACAAGTTCCTTTTTGTGTTAAACTGTGTATATGGAAATGCTTTTTGTGTATATGTAAGTTCAGATTTAAAAAAAAAATAAAATTAAAAAAACTGAAAAAGAAGAGATTTTCACTGTCACGCTGCATAGAGGTCTAACTGTAGATGAGACCTTTCCTGATTCCCTAACTATTAGTACCCTTCTACACAATTATTTTGTATATGCTTTTAATTTACTTGGTTGTAGGTATTATTCTCTCCCCACCTAAAATATAAGCCTCTTTTAGTTTCTTTGTATCCCCAATTATTCACACAGTGCCTGGCACATAGTAGATGCATATTGATTGATGGTCAATTGTTTCCAAAGTGTTGCTACTAAGCATCAGAAAGTTGCTACAAATTATATTTGCATATACGGGACTTTTCCGTCTGTCTTTGACCTCTGTTGGGTGTATACTTGGTAGAGGTATCACTGAGTCAGGGTATATACAGTTTAGTGATGTTTCTACAGTATAATGTCAAATTATTTTCCCAAATAATTGAACTAATTCGCAGCTTCACCAACAGTATGTTGATGTGCCTGATTTGTAGATGTTCCAATATTTAACTATTTTCATCTTCTGTCAAGGAAATTTGTCCAGATTGTGTAGCAAAACAGGGCAGTTGGGAGGCATGAAGAATTGTATTAGGAGCAAATCTTTTACTATATACATAGGGGTGAGCAAAAAAATGATTTCTTCACTTAAAAGGATATACACATATATGCTATTTTAGTCGTGAAAAAATGCTCTCACTGATAATTAGACAACTGCAAAGTAAAACAACTCTGAGGCACCACTCAGATTAGCTAAGATGACAGAAAAGGAAAATGGCAAATGTTGGATGAGATGTGGAAAAATATGTATACTGATGCATTGTTGGTGAAGCTGTGAACTAATCCAAACATTCTGGAAAATAATTTGGAACTATATCCAAAAAGCTATTAAACTGTGTATACTTTGACCCAGCAATATTGCTACTAGGTCTACATAACCTAAAAAGACTAAAATAAAAGAGAAGGATTCATATGTAAAAATATTTATAGCAACTCTTTTTTGGTGGCAAAGAAAAAACTGATGATACCCATCAGTTGGGGAATGGCTAACCAAGTTGTGGTATATAAATGCTGTACAATACTATTTTTCTAAAAGAAATGATGAAAGGGATGGTTTCAGAAAGACTTAGGATGACTATAAACTGATGCAAAGTGAAGTGAGCAGAACCACAGAACAATTTATACTGTAATAGCAACATTGTAAAGATAATCAACTGTGAAAGGCTTTGTAACTGATCGGTACAATGACTCACTACAGTTCCAAAGGATTCATTACGTAATATGCTATGTACCTCTGGTTGGAGAGAACTGATAGATAGAGTGTAGATTAAAGCATATTTCTCTCTCTCTCTCTCTCTCTCTTTCTCCCTCTCCCTTTCTCTTTCTCTCTCTCTCATTGCTAATGCAGAAATTTGTTATACATGACTTCATATTTGTAATTTGTAATGGGTTTTGTATTTCTTGCTTTCTTAGTGGGTAGGGGAAGGAGAGAATCTGGAACTGAAAAAAAGGCATATGCTATTTTTAGAAATATAGTTAAAAACATTTGCAATAGAAAAACAGCTAAACATCATCTTTTTCATTCTGATTGGTGTGAGGTAAGACCTCAGAGCTTTAATTTGCCTTTTTCTTATTAGTGATTTGGAACGTTCTTTCATATGTTGTTTTAAATTTGCAATTTCTCTTTTGGAAACTTCCTGTTGCTTTGATCTCTTAATTCTTGGGAAATGGCTCTTTTTCTTATATGTTTGTACCAATTTCCTGTATATTTTGGATATCTAAACTTTGTAATAAAGATATTTATAATTATAGTAATTTATAATAACCTTTATAATAAAGATAATAGATATTTGCTACAAAGAATTTTCCCCAAACTTTCCCAGAAAAGTTTTTTTTTTTAGATGCATTGATTTTGATAATGAAAAAACTGATTTTATGTATTTGAATTGCCCATTTTATCTTTTAGGGTCATCACTATCCCTTGTTAGGTTAAACATTATCCCCCTAGTCATGTTTGTCCAAGATATGTCCTTCCATTCTTCTCTAATTTATTAAAGCTTATATTTAGGTCACATCCATTTGGAGACTATTGTAGAATATAGTATATGTTATATGTTGGTCTAAACCTAATTTCTGCCAAATTGCTTCCAAGTTTTTCCAGTAGTTATTGTCAAATAGGGAGACCTTACTAAAGTAGTTTGTATTTGGGAATTTGTTGAGCCCTGGACGTCTAAATATCATCTTAGAGATTGGAAACTGAGAACCAGAGAAGTTAATTAACCTACCTTAGGTCACATAGGTAATGACAGATCTGGGGTTATTAATAATTTGTGTTTCTTATTTTGTAAACTTTGTGTTTATGTCCTTTGACCATTCACTACTGAGTATATATTTTTAGTCTTATGTAGATATGAGTCATTTACCCATATTCATTGTTATTTTTAAAAGTCTGTTTCTTTTTGTAAAGACTGTAATGAATTTCCTTCATAGATTTGACCACAGAATTATTAATTGCATATATTTTATTCATTTCGTATAGAACCTTTCAGCTTAATATAATGTCCTTTGTCTCTTCACATTTTGGGGTTACAATTTATTTGCCCAAAGTCACTATCACTCAAGACCAGGCCTGCACAGTTTGCAACCCACCAAAGGATTTCCTCTACATACAAAGGATGTTTTCCTCTACATTTTTCACAGGCCACCTGAAATCCTTTGGTCTGCCGCAAGCGGCCCACAGCCACAATTTGTGCAGGCCTGCTCAAGACCCGTCAGTGGCTCTCTACAAACCTGTCTAGTGTAAACTGCTTGCTTTTCAGACTTATCCAGCAAATCGTTTCTCACCAATCTCACATTCTTGTTAGTCTCTAATGTAGTTCTTCTAGTTTTATGATTTTTTTGGTAAACTGAGTTGTTTTTAAAGTTACCTTTTGAATCTTTATATATCATGTTTTTGTAAATCAATTATCTAATTTTTTGTGTAAAGCAAGGTTTTTATACATTGGGTTAGGTTAAAGTAAAGAACATCTGGGCCTCTATGTTGTGTGTTACTACCTACCTTAGAAAACTCCTTGAGGAAAAAAGGAAACTCCTTGAGGATAGGACATGTTCCCCATTTTTCCTCCCCAGTGAAGAATCTAATGCAGTTCTCAGTGATGATTGATGATGGACTTTGAAAATGTTTTAATTTCTTCACTGCAACTTTGATTGTATACTTAGATATTTTTATTTTCTTAGTGACAATTGTTGGTATACTGAGTATATTATTTGTGTTAGTGTGTACAGTAATAATAACTTGGTTCTATAATTTACCTGTGAACCATGTCACAATCTTTTTCAAACCGTGGTCAGTAGTTAACTATTTTGCCTCTTTTTAGGACTCCTTGTAAAATTGAACCCAGCATAAATCATATCCTCAGTACTAGAAAACCTGGAAAGGAAGAAGAAGATCCCCTGCAACGTGTACAAAGTCATCAGCAGGAGTCTCAGGAGAAGAAAGAGAAGATGATGTGTTGTAAGGAGAAGATTTATGCTGGAGTTGGGGAATTCTCCTTTGAGGAAATCCGGGCTGAAGTTTTCTGGAAGAAATTGAAGGAAAAAAGGGAAGGTGTGTATCAGCCTCGTTATTTCATGTTTGCTCTGTATTACTAGAAATCTGAACAGCACTCTCCAATAACAACTTCTAATAAAATATCTTTTGCCTGAAGTTTTTCCACTTGTTATATAACTACTTAAATTCAATCATTTAAGAGATTAACTTGAGTTAACTAGCATCCCCTTTTAAAAATGGAAATATGTCTACGAGATAACATTAATATGAGTTTAATCAGTTTGTTTTAACATATAACGGAGAACTGACTCATTGAGGGAATTGGAATACTGACTTAAGGGAGTAGGGAGGTGAGTTTTGGCGTGTAGAATGTTTGAGGGAAATAGAACAAGTCTATCTCTTTCTTCTATCCTTGCCCCATTCTTACGATGGAGACTTTAGGACAGTATGAAGGTAAGAAGAATGCTGTGAGGTTGGGGAGAGATACAGAAATCAGGGTGGGTACGTGTCAAAAAAGTTAATCAATTTCAGAATTTTCTTAACGCTGGTCCTATACCAGGAAAGCCAGAGGAAACCCCACTGTTTCTTTCCTCTTCTACCACATGGCAGCCTGTTCCTAGGACTTAAAATAATAATGCTTTAGGGAAGCCACATTATGGATTAAAGAAACTTTTGTGGGATGGCCTATGGACCTAACTACCACTGATGATATTGTTGTTTTGGAAAAATGCAATTCAAGTTCCTACCAGATTATGTCCTCAAAGTCCATTTGTACTTTGATGTTTGAAAGGTTTTATTTTTATTGCTATCTTTTTTTATGTATTTCCAAATATATGCATCAAGCCATCTCATAAAAAAAAGAAGGGGGAAAACAGTTTAGCAAAACCAACTAACATCATATCTGTGTTGTAGTATATGCAGTATTTCATACCCATAGTCCCCATCCTCTGCCTTATGGGAGAAAGGTCCATTTTTCAACTTTTCTCCAGGGCCAAAGTTAGTCATTATATTTACACAGCATTTGATTTCTTTTCTTTTTTGGTCCGTTTATAGCATTGTAGTCTTTTACATATTAACTTTCCTGGTTTTGCTCATCTTACCCTATACCAGTTCATAGTCTTCCCATCCTTCTCTGAATTCATTATTTTTTATGGCATTGTAGTGTCCTGTCATACCCGAGTGCTACAATTTGTTCATCCCTTCCCCAGTTGATGGACTACCTGTGTTTTTTTGGCTTTTGCTTTTTCTTTATTATGAACGTGATCGTTATCAATAAACAAAGAACGAATAAGAGGATTAGATAAACTTGTGTTTCTTTTTAAGTTATATTAGTATGAAAATATTTATACCAGCTCTTTTCCTGGTATCCAAAAATTGGAAACTAACAGAGTATCCTCCTACTGGGAATGGCTGAATGAATCGTGTTATATAAATGTAATGGAATATTCTTGTGCCATAAGAAACGATGAAATGAACAATTTTGGAGGAAACCGGGAAGACATCTAGGAACTAATGCAGAACAGCGTGACCAGAAAGGGAGAACAACTTATATATAATAACAAAATGATAGAGAAAACAACTTTGAAAAACTCTAGGACTCTAATCAATACAATGATAAACCGTAAGTCCAAAGGAATGAAGATGAAACATGCTACTCGCCTCCTGACAGAGGTGATGAACTTAAAATGCAGAAAGATTTTTCAGACATGACTAAAGTGACAATTTGTTTTACCAGTCTATGCAGCTATATGTTGAAGGCTTTATTTTTCAGATTTGTTGTTTTTATTTGTTTGGTAGGACGTAAGGAGGGAGAACTAGCAAAGGGGAGAGGGGAGGAATTATTTTTTTTAATGCTTGTGAAATGAAAAAAATAAAAATAATTTTCAAAGGATATATATTATACTTAACAGGATGGTAACAAAATTGGCCTATTTGTGTACCTTCTGACTTTATTGAGTGTGTGTGTATCTTTTATTGATATGGGGTTTTTGGTTTTGTTTTGCATCTCTGTATCTTCCCACTAACTCACACCCTCAATAGAAACAGCCTCCCTTGTAACAAATAAATATAGTCAAACAGAACAAATTAAGGTATTAGCCATGTCTGAAATTGTCTCATTTTCCACCCCTACTTTATCATCTCTGCCCAGAGGCAGAAAGCATGCTTCATGTCTTCAGTCTTCTGAAGTCATGATTGGTCAAAGTTGTTTTACTTGTTTTTATTTTGTGGTCATTGTGTAACTTGTATTTGTTCTTTTTCTTTTTCTTTTTTGGTGAGGCAATCGGGGTTAAGTGATTTGTCCAGGGCCACATAGCTAGTAAGTGTCAAGTGTCTGAGGCCGGATTTGAACTCAGGTCCTCCTGACTCCAAGGCCAGAGCTGTATCTACTGTACCACCTAGCTGCCCCTTATAACTTGTATTTGTTAAGAATTAACTGATAATAGGTACGACCAATCAAGAGAGGTAACACTCTAGGCTCTAACTTGAAGTAAAGCAGAACTTACACATCTCACTAGTAGGCAGGAAATAGTAAACAAATGAGTTAGAGTGAGTTTTGTATGAAGCTAGGGACAGAAATAGGCCCACTATAGAAGTATAGGGTTTTGCCAGGGATATAGATTAGCTTGAAGGATATAAGGTACTAAGTAATATACCAGTTTAAGTATATACTGTGCAGAGCAGAATTGCTCTAAGTGTGGAGAGTTTTTGCCAACATTATGGGAGCAATGAAAACCTTAAAGAAAAAGAAATAAGAATAATAATTCCTAATTTTTCAATCTTTGACATAAGTTGGTGAGTTCTCCATAAATGCCACCTAGTTTTAAAATACTTGTCTGTAGTTTCTCACGGTGGCTGTTTAGTGTGTTATAAAAATGTCTAAACTAATTATGGAACAATGATATCCCAAAGGTTCTACTTTCCATGATGGCACCTTGTACAGTGTAATAAAGTAGATGTTTGATAATTATTTGTTTACTGACAAATTATTGGATTAATTCTTTGACAGTGGAAATTTATTATAGTCCTTTTACTTTTAACCTCAAAGGCTCTTGTTAACCTCTATCTGTTGTTTGTTCATGAACATGACAACTTGGCTATATTGGATCTGATTATCTTTTTAAAAATAAAAATAATGTTCTAAAAGCCATGGCTGTTTTCTATGAAAGGAGTAGTTGCTTTGACTGACTTGTTCCTTAAACAAGTTCTGCACCTTTCTACCTCAATACCTTTGCTCAAACTGTTCCTTGTGCCTAGAATCTCTTGTGCTTTCTCTTGCTATGCTTTGAATGTCTACCTTTCTGTATCTCCATGAATCTGCATGTTCCTCTTCTGCTTCCCACCTACCACAAATCAATAACTACCTCTAGCCCCTACTTCATAAATCATACTTTTTCAATGGACGTATCACATACTATTCTGTTAAGTATTTGTCTCTATGCATTTTATCCCCAAATAGCCTTAGCTAAACTTTGTATTTTTTTCCTAGAGCCTACCACAATGAAATTGAAATGATAAATTGCTATTTCCCTAGTGGCTAGGAGATGCTTAGGAAAAGTCCAAATTGGACATGGTTATAGAAGCAGTCTAGAATTTGAATTTTGATCTTCTTACCTAGAAAGAGAGTGACCTAGGTTGGGGATTGGGGAGCAGGTTGAATTTGGTATCCAACTGAAAGATACAGACTCATGTCCTACATTAGACTTTTTATGTAATCTTTATACTTCATTGTCTACTGTATGTAGTTTCTACCCTTGAAAATCCTTTGGTAAAGTAATTTTATTTTTTAGTTTGTTGTTGACAACTATTTAACTCTACTGTTGGTAGTTTTATATTTTTAATATGAAAACATCAGTCAAGAAACATTTATTAAGCATTTACTTTGTATCTGGCACTGTGCTAAGCAATGGTTACACAAAGAAAAAGCAAAAATCCCTGCCCTCAAGGAGTTTACATTCTTTTTTTTTTTTTGTTTGTTTGTTTTTTTTTTTGTTTTTTTTGGTTTTTTGCTTGGCAATGGGGTTAAGTGACTTGCCCACAGTCATACAGCTAGTAAGTGTTATGTGTCTGAGGTCGGATTTGAACTCAGGTCCTCCTGATTCCAAGACTGGTGCTCTATCCACTGTGCCACCTAGGTGCCCCAGGAGTTTACATTCTAATGATGACTCAACATGTGCATAAATCTATACATAAAAGATAAGTGCTAGGGAGATAGAAGGTAACCTTATGGAGAAGACACTAGAAGTGGAGGATTGGAAATAGCCTCCCAGAGGAGATGGTGTTTGAGTTGATTCTTAAAGGAAGCCAAGGATTTTAAAAGGTAGAGTTTAAGAGAGTATTCCAAGTGAGGTGGACAACCAGTGCAGAAGCACAAAGAACTTGGAGCATTGTGAGGTATAGTAGGTGGTATGGGTGGACCTTTGAGTATGTGGCAAGGAGTTCTGTGTTAAAAGACTAGAAAGATGGGAAGGGGAAGGTTGTAAAGAGTTTTGAATTCCAAATAAAAATTGAACCATTTGAGGTTCACTGAATGGAGAAGAGTGACATTGTCACACCTGTGCTTTAGGAAAATCATTTTGGCAGTTAAGTGGAAGAAGGATTTGAACACGCAGTAGATACAGCTCCAGCCTTGGAGTCAGGAGGACCTGAGTTCAAATCCGGCCTCAGACACTTGATACTTACTAGTTGTGTGACCCTGGGCAAGTCACTTAACCCCCATTGCCTCACTAAAAACAAAATAAAAAAAAAAAAAAAAGAAGGATTTGAACAGGGAGTATCTTGAAACAGAGAGTCTTATTAGAAGGCTATTGAGGGGTAGCTAGGTAGCTAGGTGGCATAGTGGATAGAGCACCAGCCCTGAAGTCAGGAGGACCTGAGTTCAAATCCAGCCTCAGACCAAACACTTGACACTTACTAATTGTGTGACCCTGGGCAAGTCACTTAACCCCAATTGCCTAAAAATAAAAAAAACAAAATAAAAAAAAAAGAAGCCTATTGAAATAGCCTCAAATAAGAGACATGAAAAGATATATCTCCCCAGCTTATCACCACCACCACCATCTCTTTGGATAGGTGGGGGTTCCATGAATGCAGATTGTTGCATTTATTATTAGATTTTTTTTTATGTATTGATTTTTTCCCCCTTTTCCTCTTTATAACAGTGTTGTTATGGGATGATTGTTGGGGAAGAGTGAGAGGAAGGGAGGTAGGAAGAAATTTAGTTGATATAAAAACAAAAGATATCAATAAAAAAGGAAGACCACTGCAAAGAATGATAAAGGTCTGAATGAGAATGATAGCTATATGAATAGAAAGAAGAGAATATGTATGTGAGAGAGATATAGGGCAAGAAATGACAAGATTTGGCAACTGATTGATTATGTAGGGGAAAAGAGAGGAATCTAGGATGTCTCGGTGGGTGAGGAGAAGGATGATGGTGCCCTTGACAATAATAGGGATATTTGGAAAAGGGGAAAGTAAAGACAATGAGTTCTGTTTTGAACATGGTAAGTTTAAGGTGCCAATGGGATGTGTGAAATTCAAAACATCCAATAGGCACTTGGTGATGCTGGACTGGATACATGAAGAATAGATGAAATATGGGGAAGCTTTGAGGCTAGGGCCACAGGGAGGAGCAAGCCCCCAACCCTTACGCAATAAGAGAAAAGGCAGCATTTCTTATTACATGGTGCACCTTCTAGGCAAACCAGACTTCTCTATGTCACACATAACCCTCCGTCTCCCTCTTCCATTCAGAATGTGCTCCCTTTTCACCTCTACCTCTTAGATTGTCTAGTCTTCGAGATTCAGTTCAAGTACTACCTTCTATATGAAGCTTTCCCTAGTGTCTTTCCCCACAGGTTACCTTGCGTTTATTTTGTACGTGTGTGTGTGTGGTATGTATGCACCATTTTCTCCCAAAAGAAGATAATCTCCTTTAGGGCAAGGGTTGTTTCATTTTTGTCTTTGTACCCCAACTGCCTGCCACGGTGCCTAGAACATAGAAAGTCCTTAATGAATGCACATTGATTGATTGATTGATAGAATATCAGGATCAAATTAGAATGGTGACTTTAAAAGACAGTTTAAGAATGAAAGAAAACAAGGGTTCTTAAGGGATATAATGTCTCACTCGACTTCTTTGTCTCCAGCTGAGTTGCTGTCTGGGGCACAGAAAAGAGCAGAAATGCGAAAACAGATTGAGGAGATGGAGAAGATGCTAAAGGAAATCCAGACAACCCAGCAAGAAAGGCTGTGTGATCAGGTAACTTTTTTAGCTATTAGTAACAGCAAATTGGCTCAGAAGTTGAGTTTAAAGGTGTGTTGGCATTTTGCCTTTTGGGGTTATTATTTTTCACAGTTAAGAATACATTATTGAAGAGGAAAAGCTAAGGGTCATTGAGTAAGTAGTATGAATTGAGATTCCAAGTGAACCCAAAGCCATTATTTTGGTGTTTGATTTTAGCATAGTCTCTCATTGTACTTTATTCACATTATGGTAAAGTGAAGTTTTCTGAAAAAGTTCAGCATACTACCTGGTATCATTAGTCTAAATCTAGATTTGTAAGTATTTATTGTTGTTTATGATGGACATGCAAATTGTTAAGGAACTTTTTTTTCATGATTCCCACTAAAGTAAGGGTTCTTAACCTAGGTATCCATGGAGAAATTTCAGGGTGTCTGTGAACTTGAATGGGGAAAATCATTACTACATAAAGATAGCCTAATTTTTATTAATGTCTAATTAAAATATATCATTTTCTTCAATTAGGAAAGTAGGCAACAAACTGCAGTAGTAATAGTAGAACTTGTGACTTTATCACTGATAAAAATCATTGATATTTTCATATCATATTATAGTTGTTGCAGATTTCACCAAGCATTTATTAAACATATTTACTGTGGACCTGCCCATAGTAAATATATAGGCACACGATAAAAAAGAGGCAGAAACAGTTCCTGCCCTCAAGGAGCTCACATTTTAATGGAAGATAAAATGCAAATAGCTGTGTACATACAAGATATCTACATGGCAAATTAGTGGTAATCTCAGAGGGAAGGCACTAGCATCAGGAGGGACCAGGAAAGGCTTTCTGAAGAAGATAGGATTTGAGCCAAAACTTGAAAGAAGTCAGGGAAATCATGAGGCAGAGGTAATGGGGAACAGATGGTAAAAAGGAACTAAATGGGGAGGTGGAGTATTGTGTTTGAGGAACAGCAAGGAGAGACCAGAGTTTCTGGATTGTAGCGTGAGTCCTCAGAGGACACATCAAGTGTAAGAGACTGGAAAGGGAGGAGGAGACCAAGTTGTGAAGGGTGGCCATAGCTGGAAATAGTATTTCTGTTTATCACTGCTTTGAAACTGCTATAGTTAAACCTGCTGCCATCCCTGTTGCTAAATGGCTCAGAATCACAATCTTCCTGTCATTTTGTGTTTTAATATAATTGGTTTCCTTTATTAGCCTTTGTACTTTATTTTGTGCATTTTAAAACATTTTTCTGAGGAATCTGTAGGTTTCACCTGACTAACAAAAGAGGTCTGTGACGCATATAGCATGTGTATGGACATGGGAAGGTACCTGTGCATCTACAAAGAAAAAGAGATAGTAAGATAATGGGAACATGAAAGTGGGTTACATTTTTAGCAAGGTAGCAGTGGAGAACTCAGAATTTCTAATTCTTGTCAGAACTGCTTTTTGACAAAACATGAAACTCTGAAAGTACATAGTGTATTTTCCTAGAGTGTGGTGACTCATCGATTTTGTTTGTTTAATGTTGACAGCCTGGAGAAAGTATGCCAACAAGAGAGATAGCAGCTGGAGGATGTGCTTCCAGGCTTCCAGACGTGCCAGGAGAGGAGGTTCTTTTCAGGTCTGTGTTCACTGAGCCCTTATTTCAGGTAGGACCAATGCTTCATTAATGGAAAGGCGGACACAGAAGAGCATTTTGAAATATAATAAGTGACTCTATACTCATGACTAAAGATCTGCATTTTTTTTTTCCTAGTACAGGTTAGTGTTTTTTATGTATTTCCAGTATTTTGAATGCAGAGTAGATCTGAGGAGAGGGTGGGGTACAGTCCTAACTTCTTGAAGGGTCACAGATTTAGAATGGTTTCATTGCCTTGGAAATTAGATAGACTAAGGAGGAATTAATATAACTGAGTTTAAGCTTAATAAAGGCACAGTTCTATTTTGAAGTATAAGTATGGTTTTTTAAAAATGTAAACTTCTTAACAGGGAAACTTCACTTGTAGAAAACACTTGGAAGGAACTATCTTCTAAGGGTAAGTAATATTCAGAAATTAATAAATGGAAATTTTGCTGGTAAGAGAGAAAATGCATGCACAGTAATGAATAGTTAACATACAGGTTCCTGATTGTGATAAAAAGGAGTGGAAAAGGAGGCCTCTTATATTGGCTTGACTCCTCTTGAAGCCTCTAAAATCTTGTTGTTTAAAGGGAGTGTATTAGTGGTTTAATATTTACATGGATTTTATATGAGGTCAACAGTGTGAATTATTTTTCCTCCTACATTTGTTACCCTCATTACACAATGGTCTTGAGGAAAAAAGTAAGTGAGAATGTGGTAAAGAAGTTAGAATAATAGTTAGCTAGGAGGAAAAAACCAACTACTATTTTCCAAGCACACTGCTCTCTAGTCGTCAAGGAGCTCTCTCATGCTCTAACCACCCAAGGCTCATTGACTTTGATAACCAAGGCTGTACTGCAGGAATTCCTTTATTGCTTCTAACCTGACTGACAACTTTTGTAGTTGATTGGAGGGAAGGAGAGAGGAGAGGAGTGTCATTATAGTGGCTTTTCAATATAGTACCAGAAATAGCAGAGTGGAGTGACATACTACCTTCTTGAAGGATTTGGGGCCACAGGTTTGGCATGTTCTAGGTACACCCAGACAAATTAATCAACATGTAGCTTGAATATCTTTTGTATAAAATAAAGTAAACCTAAGCTAATGGCAAAAAAGCGTCTGCCAAGACAGCTGCTAGATAATTGAGCTAGAGCCTTCAATGATGTTCAGCAGTCCAGGTCATAGGGTGGGATTTGGAGTGCTTTACTAGAAAACAGAGAAAAAACAAGGATGTCATTTGGCTTAGTGCTTTTGCTTATTATAACTGATATAAAAACTAGATTTCCTTTCCAAATTGTGTTAAAGGAGTACTAAAGAAATTCTTTATGAACCAAATTTTTGTGGGAAGCTGATTTAAGAGAAGAATTATATTTTGTTAAAAATTAGTTTGTGACTCATTCTGTCTTATTCTATAGGTCCTGTCATACCATTTTCCATTTTTGACGAATCTGTTCCTTCAGAAAACCAGAACATCAGGTCTGATTTGCTTCAAAAATAGTCATACTTATGTGAGGCTCAATTAGGGGGTAACTGTGCCAACTCAAAAAGGAATATACTGAACAGAGGGTGTGTTTTTCTTAAGTCTTTCTGCAGAACCTCGATGGGCATCAGGCCAGAGAAGAGCCCTTGCTGTTCTAAAATCTTCAGAAGACATGACCTCAAAAGAAGATCTTCCTCTGGAAGTTTGTGTAAGTAGCAATATCCTTAAGTAAACTTAAGCAAAAATCTGTTGCATTAATGCTGACTAAATTTGAAAATATGTGAGGTAAGATTCACATCACAATATGACTCCCAGGTCAATGGGACATGAACTGTAAATATATATATATATATATATATATATATATAAAGAGAGAGAGAGAGAGAGAGAGAGTAAAGAATAGGTGATGTAATAGATACCTTCAAATATTTGAGCTTTGTCACCTGGAAAAAATTATTAGATTATTCTTTGGTCCTCCTGAGGGCAGAAGTGGAACAGTAATCAACTAGGCTAGGGATCAAATGGAGAGGAATCACAGATTGACAGGATTTGAGAGCTGGAAGGCACCTCAACATCTACCTAGTCCAACATAGAAAGAGACCTCCCTCTCATCCACCCTCTTTGTGAAGACTATTGCACTACTGATGCTCTCACTGTTACATTGTTAGGAAGCTTTTCATGACATCAAACTTAAATTCCCTTCTTGCCATTTCCATCCATTGCACCTGATTTGGCTCTCTGGGGCCAAATGGAGTGAGTCTCATCCCTTCTTCACATGACGGCCCTTCAAGTACTTGAACATAGCTATCCCAACCCCCCTGAATCTTTTTCTCCAGGTTAACTATCCCCATTTCCTTATGTGGCATGGACTTAAGGCCTGTTTGGCAGCTTTGTTACCCTCTCCTGGACAGGTTATCTAGCTTATCAATGGCCTTTTAAACTGTGACCCAGAACTGAACGCAATACTCCAGGTGAAGTCTATCAAGGACAGAATACAATAGGACTATTACCTTCCTATTCCTAGAAATTATGCTTCTATTAATGCAGCTCAAAACACTGCTTTTTCATATTGAGGTTGTAGTTCACTAAAATCCTCAAATCTTTATCAGAACAATTGCTGTTTAACCATATGTATTTTCATTCTGTATTTGTGAAGTGGATTTTTTTGTTATCTAAGCTATAAGATTTTACCTTTTTCCCTTTTGAATTTCATCTTACTAGATTCAGTCTAGGGCTCTAGCCTGTCAAGATCTCCATCCTAGTTGGGATTTTCTGCCTTAGTTTTTTGTTTTTATGATTTTAAACTATTTGTGGCTTATTACCTCAACCCTAAATACCTAGTTAAAAAGTTATAATCAGTTACCTCCTCTTAATTACTTAATAACCTTACTCAGTTTCCTTTCCTTAGCCTCTACAACTCCGTAGCCACACTCCTTTTCCCCTTCTGCCTTTCACCAACTTCCTATGTTTCCTCAGTTTGCCCCACCCTAATTATCCATCCTATCAATTTGCTTTATTTTCCAGTTGTTCCTTGTACCTTTTTTTTACTTAATTTGCCTCATTTTGCTAAATACTTTTTCCTTCTTCATTTTCCTCTTCAGGTCCTACTCTCTAGTCCTCTTAAATTCTGCTTAATCCTTTAATAACCTCTTTCAACCCAGAAATAGAATCTGGACTAGTGTCTAGGCCTGGAGATTGTTCTCCCAAAATTCTCAGGTTTATCTTCTGACCCACCTAGCTAAACTTATCCATTTTTAAGTCACCTACCTGATTTTTTTCTCCTTATTCAGCTCAAGGAACTTTTCCTGCTCCTTTTTCCATTGAAGGCCAAAATTGAGTTGGAGTTACAAGGAGGGAATATAAAGAACTCCTCAGTATAAAGAACTTTCTTATGAAAAGCCATCCAACAGTAAGACTGCAATATATCGTTAGTCTGCTCTTAGATGTGTATATTCAAGCAAAAGGCTAAGTGACTTTCTGTGGGAGGTGTTCTAGAAAAGCTTCCTACAATTGAGTAGGAAATTAAAACTAGATGATCTCTGAAGTGCTTTCTAACTTAACAGTATCTTTTCCTTCCCATTCTGATGGACTTGGCTTTCCTATTAGAAGTCTTTTTCTGTCTGACAAGTCTCTAAAAGTGTCTTTAGTGAAGGCTCACACACGTGCACATTAAGAGCTTTCTCAAAAGGATAACGAAGAAGGTAATTGGATTAAAAATGAATAAAGGGCTAAAAAAAGATTAGCTATTCTAGATAGCTTTGCTAGAGCCATATGGCATATTCAAAAAGACTTTTATCCCAAGTTAATTGGGATAAAAACATTGAGAGGATTCTTTTTCATCTTTTTTTCTATCTTTTCATAAATTCTACCTGTTTTGATTTTGATTTTGATTTTGATTTTAATTTTAATATTTTGATTTTAATTTTGATTTTGATATCGATTTTGATTTTAATATCCATTCATGTTTTTCCCACAGATCACATTTAAGTTTATAAAGTAGTTTCATAAAATGTATACAAATCTACAAAGACTGTAGATCTTTTCTTTTTGCTCCTTTTCCATTTGATTTTATTGAACCAAACTTACTATACTAGAAGTGAATTGCATAGGAAGTGGAAGACTTAAAGAACAATAGAGAATGATTAGTTTTACCAGAAACCTTTTCTAGGTGAGTTCATTATAGTACTTCAAGATTCTGTGATTTCATTGGTATAGGTAGAAAAGTACTTCCTCCACTGATGGCAGATCATCATCTATCTATGCATTGGCAAATGGTTTTTGTGAATTGTTATGGCTAAAATATTTAGTCACTTGGTGATGTTTGACTGAATTTGGCTGAGCTATGTTTGCATTTCATTGCTAGATTTATATTTGAAACCTTTTCAGCTAGGCCAAGCCTGTCAAAGCTTGTGTTCTACTAGATTAGCTTTAAAAACCCTGGGATACTTTTGTATAACAATGAGATGCCAGATTTGGCATTTCAGGTACAAAATAATAACTCACATTTATGCAGTGCTTCAAGTTTTATGATGGCCAACAAACCACAGTCTGGAGGGTGCTAATAATAAGGTAGTCTTCTTAGATTATGCATATAGGATAAGCACAATTTAATGACACAAGTTCTTCAAGGAGTTTATTATTAATGTCCAAGGCCTTTAAAAATTCATGGACTGATTAATATGTTTCTCATAAAAATCATCTCTTAACTATTTCAGGATGAGTTCATTGGAATTGAGCCCTTGAGTGAAGATGCCATTATCACAGGTTTTAGAAATATGCCTATATGTCCCAACCCAGAAGACACTTGCGACTTCGTTAGGGCAGCCCGCTTTGTATCAACTCCTTTTCATGGAATAATAACACAGAAGCACCCACTATCTGCCAATCCTGAGAGAATTCTACAGGAAGAGCTACAGTTGAAGAGAACTTCTATAAACCAGCAAACTGTTTGTGAGGTTACTTACAACCAAGCACTTGGCATTAAGAAGTTGAGGTAACTATGGATTGTAATATACATGAATTTGCTTATTTGTGCCTTTCCTTCCTCTCTGTGTATACTTGTCAACTTCCCAAGAGTATTGCTTATCTTAAGAGTACCAGGTATACCAGGTATATATTATTCTAACTTTTTTGTGGTTCTAAATTACATTCAGAATTTGGCTTTTAATTTGTTTTTTATATGGCCGTCTAGACTGTTATAACTTCATTATAATGCTAAGCCCAGAGTGTTAGATGAACCAGTGTGATCTGGAATGACTATTGAAACATAGAGATTCATTTCCATTTTCCCAAACATTGTTGAACAGTCACTATTTTACTGTTTTCAACCTTTAAATGAACTAGCATTACCCAAATATTATTAACAAAATAACTTCCCTAAAGTTATACTTATTTTGTTAGATTTCAAATGCCTGTAGTTTAAAGAAGTGGAGTCTAATGGAAAGGACTCTGGACAGAGAATTTAAGTAGTTGGATGATTATTGTGTTATAATTTTTCCTAGCTGTAGCACATGTGTATCACTTGTTCTGACTGATGATATTTACCCTTGACCTGAGACAGATCACCGAAGTTCCCTGGGCCTCAGTTTTTTCCTCTTTAAAATAAAGGGGGAATGCTAGATGGCCTCTGAAATCCCTTCCAGCTCTGTATCTGTGATCCTGTGATCTCATACTTTGGATCTGTGATCCCCTCATTGTGGATTCTCCATCCAACAGTGTGCAGGTCCACACTTTATTATCCTATCTGATTTTTGTCTGTGCTCCCCTCTGCATTCTTCACAGGGATTGTATTAGATCCCATACTAGGGGCCTTTCTCTTGATCTCATCCTTTCATGGATACCATTGGAATACTCAAGCACCATGCTCCATTGCCCTCACTACGTGACTCAACTAATATCTCTCTCCTGGACTCTTCCTTTATGCTACTTCTCCTGAGAAGAGTTCCTCATAGGTTACATGTTCACACCTGTCCTGTGCCTCTCATTGACCTTTGAGTGAACTGCAGCTTTAATTCTTTAGAAACGAATATTCTGAGACTTGTAGGTATATAGCCCCAGTTTAAGAATACTAATGTTAAAAAGATGGGCCTTTGTTTCAGGAAGAAACCTGGGATCATTAAAAACACTGTGCAGTTTCTTAAATGCAATCCAGCCCCCCTGTCATCTTATTCAATTCCAGGCCTAGTTCTTTGTCCTTCCACAATGTCTGTCCAAGATAGAGATATAGATGTAGAGATATATGTCTTCCTGACTCCAAGGCCAGGTCCATATACACTATAACCAGGCTTGCCCCTCCTTCATAAGATTTTGTGAACAAGTTTATATTCCAAACTGATGGTGCTCTTTAGCTGCATTATCTTTTAATTTGATGATGATGTCAAATGTTTATTGGCTAAGATAGTTTCTAGATTCTTTTATTCTCCTTTTGACACTTGATTTATATCCCTACACTTAGGAAATGGTGGTAGTCATATTGGTGTCTGCTCTTTTTATTAATTCCTCATTTTGAGGGCATTAAAAGCTTTTTTAAGTAAGCTAGGTTGGCATTACCTCAATTACATGCCGTATCTTCTTATTTTTATTCTTCTAATTTCATAATGATTTTGATCTGTGCTCTTTGTGGAATTGAGTCCTTCTTTGGTATATTGTCATTTCTTCTCAGAATATACTTAGCTTCATTTTTTGTGATTTTGTTCAGTGTTCACCATGTTTAGCATTTCCCAATTCTCTTTGTTCTGTGCAGGGATGATCTAAGGCTTTTGTGGTCATCCATCATTTGGTCCCTCTCATTTCTCAGGGATGGTGTCAGTAAATGAAATTATGTATTTTGGGGCTTTGAATCTTTAAAGGAAAAATTACGTAATCAATATTTCATTCTTAAACATCAAGATTAGCCATTAAGTGGAGAGAAAAAAAGAAAAGGGCCCCGGAAAATAGCTTCTCTTGTCAGCTCTCATTTAGCATTATCCTTCTTTTCTTTTAGCACTTCCTACCTCTGGATGCACACATACTTTATGTCTCACCTAGCTCTTCCACAGTTCTGAAGGTCGCTAGCCCTACCCTTGCCATTATACTTGGAAAATTCAACATACATTTTAATGACCGACTGGGCCTCTTGGATCCCTAGTTCACCAGTTGCAGTTCCTCTGACTTAAAATGTTGTTCACTCTGTCTCAGATATGCAAAGGAGAGGTCATATCTTAGGGCTCACCATCACCCATAATTGTCACCTCCATGATCGTGACCTCTGTGATCCTGGTCGGAATTCCCTTCTCTCCTGTCCTTTGATTTCTCACTCTCCCTGAACCTGTTCTTCATTCTCACCAGGGCCTCTAATCTCTCTCATCTTTCTTTATTCTTTGATGTCTCTGGCTGCACTTACCTCATTTCAGTTTTAGGTGGGGGAAGGCATATGCTAGTAATATCTGAACAAATACTTGTTTTATTAAAGAAAGGATACTGAAGGACAGTGGTATAGTTTGAACAACATTGAAGACTAAGCAAGGCCCACCTTACACCCTCAGCTTATCCACAGAGTTAGTGGGGAAGGTAGTGTTACATGGGATATAAAGAAAAGTCAATTTTAAAAACCTTTATTTGTATGTGTGCAATGTGTGCACTCTATCTCTGGTCTAGCTGCCTCCTGTGTACCCTTTTTAATGACTAGAGTAATTGTTAAGAGTTAAGTACTAATGAGTAATCATCAAGCAGGTAGGAGAGATTGAATGGTGCATTACTAGTACTTAATTCTTTGGCATCTGGGTAAGACTGAATGCAGTTAATTTAATGAAACATTTTTGTGGTAGCCAGAGACTACCTTGTCTGTACCTGTGCTTTAGAGAGTCAGAGACATTGGGAAACTCGGTCTAAATAAACCTGAGGCAGGAAGAAGAACTAGAGAAGTAGGCAGGAGATGTCCTTGGTGGTCATGGGAGCTTCAGGGAAAGTTAGACTTTCAGTTCAGCAGTTAGACTGGTTATATAAGTAGAGTGAAGGGGGCCTCTGCACAATGTGGTTGAATGAGTGGGACTAGAACAGCCCAGTTCTCCCACAGGTACTCCAGCAAGGAGTTTAAAAAAGACTGAGGAAATTATAAAGAAAACTAAGGAAAAAGTAAGTGCATTTTGCCATCCCACATTTGCACAGAGAGACAACCAGTATCTGAGTACTAGGTAAGGTGTTCAGAGAGAAAAAGCCAGCTAACAGTGGGGAACATGGTAGTCTTCTAGCTTAGGAACTAGGGGCTATTAGGGAAGCCTAAAGCTGTGGTCAGAGGCAGTACAGTACCTTGTGAGACACTGAAAAACACTCATCTCCACCGACTGAAGATAATATAGGTCAATAGCAAAGGCCACACCAGTCATGCCAGAGCACCCAGCATAGTGCTTGGCACTGAGTTGGGGTTTGATAAATGTTTATTGATTGACTGAGTAATCTTCTTTGGTAGAAGGCATTTCCTCATCACATTTTCCCTGTACCAGTAACAGGTCTGGAGGGAAAGGCAGTAGTACTTTGACAATGGGAGTCCGTAAGGTGCTAGAAAGGAAATGTTACCTAGGCAGGGAGAAAGGGAAAACAGAAATCAAAGCCTTGAGCCAGGTGAGCTGAATAGGTTTGAGACTTTGGGAAATCAGGCTTTATTCATTCAACAAACATTTATTAAGTTTCTAATTAAAGGCCCTTTGGGGAACAGCAAACAGATGGTGAGTGTGCCGTTGGCTGGGTTCTGAAGTTGATGCACGTGTGGTTGGGTGTCCAGGGCCAACCAGAAGATAAAGTGAACTCCATATATCAAAGTCAACAGCAAAAGATGGAGGAGGAAGTAATTTGTAGACATAGAGAAGAGGATGACAGGACATATTTTTGGAGAAAGGATAATCCAGCTGGATTGGAACATAGTGTGGGCAGAGGAGGAATGTGGCTGAAAAGGTAGGAGCAGAACCAGATTGTGGAGGACTTTGAATGTCAGGCCAGAGTTTATACTTTACTTAAGATCATATATTTAAAGTATATAAAAATTTTAACACCTCAGTTTTAAAACTCTCCTGCCTACCCTGTGGGGTATTTTTTTTCCTGATCTTCCTTCTGTTCTGTTCATTTTCAAAAATGACATTTCTTTTTTTTTTTTAAACTTTTTTTGCATGATTGTATTATTACTATTCTCACTTGCCCACCAAGTCTTATCTTCACCCATCCCCCCAAACCCTTCCCTTATTACAAAAAGTAAAATCAAACAAAACAAATCTATACATATGCATATCTCATTCTGTACCTTTAGTCCATCACCTTTCAGGAAATGAGTAGCGTGCTTCATCATAGGGCCCCTAGAGACATGGTTGGCCATTGCATTTATCAGAGGGCTTATTTTGTCTTTCAGAATTGTTTCTTTTAAAAATGTTCCAGTCACTGCGTACGTTGTTCTTTTGGTTCTGTTTACTTTGCTTTGCATCATTTTTATATAAGTTCTTCCAGGTTTATCAGAATCTATCCCTTTCATCATTTAATATGGTGTAATAATATTCTATTATATCCATATACCATTTTTTTATTCAGCCATTTTTCAATTCATGGGCACCCCCTTACTTCCCAGTTTCTTGCTACAACAAAATTGCTTCCATATTGTCTTGTCTCATTCATCCCTTGAAATTCTATGCTTGTTATAGTGATATTGCTGGATCAAAGGGTTTGCACAGTTTAGTGACTTCTAGGGTATAGTTCCAAATTGCTTTCTAAAATGTTTGGATCACTCCGAAGCTCCAATAGTGCATTACTATGTCTGTCCTCCAATATCCAGTTTTTTTCTAGTGAGCAGAGGGGTGATGTGGTCATGTCTATTTATGTTTAGTCTGACAGTGGCATAATGAATGCATTAGAGTAGAGCTAGGAAGACTTCTTACGAGGCTGTTGAAATAGTTTAGGCAGATGGTAATGAGGAACTGTGCTAGGATGTTAGCAGTGAGAATAGAGGGATGGGTGGGGATTTGAGAGATGCTG